TCGGCCTCCACGTGTCTCGGGGCCAGGCCAAAGCCTTGCATTTGCTACCACCAAAAAAAACGGCAGGAAGCAAGTCCTCAAGGAGAGGTCGTCCTGAGGCAACCGCCTACAACCCAGACCCCAGAAGCTCAAGTTATGGACACACTCTCCCAGGCCGGGCCCCTCAAGTTTGCAGGCCTCCAATCACTAAAATCCAGCCAATGTTCCGTGCCTCCAGCTCAGGCACCAAGATGGGTCACTGCCTCCCTAAGGCCCAGATTGTCTACAGCCCCAAAGAGGTTGCCAGAATCTATTCTCCCAAAGTTACCACCTTAATTCCAGAGCAGCGGAGACCCTATGGAACACCCTCTCCAAACCCCACCCTCCCTACCAGGACTTCTCAGACCTTAGGAAGCCACAGCAACACCTTGAAGGGCTGGCTGGCCGGAGGCCAAGTGTGTTCTCCTGCCCTGAACCCTGGAAACCCCTTGTGGAGTCTGCTCTCCCCTGGTTGAAGACCAGAAGCACCCAAGGCCCCATTCAGCCTTCACTGTATCCAATAAAGTCTAACCCTGAGACTTGTGTCTGTGTCCTACTGTGCCCACAGGGTGGATTCAAGGGCTATAGGATACGGTCTCTCAACAAGGTTGGAGGGAAAAGGAAGGTCAAGGACAGAAAGTGCCACACATCCCAGTATCTGAGCTGCTTAGAGACCTCTGCAAGGCCCTTTTCTGGTTTAATTCTAGTCTGTGGACACATAACTGGAATCAAAGAAGAGGTCACTGGGCCCATTTCTCAGGGCATGCCTGGGTGGACACACAGCAGCCCATTTTCCTCATTGGGAAAGACATGGCGAACAACTCATTCACAGGCAAACAAAGAAATCCCATGTACAGACCAGAAGGCTCCAGGACTGGAGAGATGGCTGAGTGGTTCGCTAGCTGCTGCTCCTGCGAGTTCAGGTTCAATTCTCAGCACCCATATGGCAGCTCACAACTGCAACCCTAGTTCCAGGAGACCTAACACCCTCCTCTGGCTTCTGTGGGCACACTATGACCTCTGTGACATAGGCTTTTGATACCAGAGAAAGCCGCTTCCAGGGAATGAGCCCCTCAGCTCCTACTGGGGGCAGCAATGCCGCCCCTTAGGCAAAGCTTCAGTCTCTGGGAGCCATTTACCTGCTGACCCTACTGTTGCTGCCACTGGGTCTGACAGTCACCTCTGTCAAGGCCAGGTTGAGTGAGAGGGACACCCACTGTGAAGGGTGACAAGTGGCCAGGGGAGCCAGCATGCCAGGAAGTCAGGATGCTTACAAAATCTGTGTGTCAGGGATAGAGGGACAAAACCCTGCACCACAGAAGAGCTCTGCCAGACAGAGGCCTTGAGGCACCACTAGGAGTGGAATTCGGGGTAAGAGTCTGTGTAGGGGTCAGAGGCTGGAGGCAGAGGAGACTGTTTTGTGACTCTGCTTTCTCTTCCCTTTTTGAGGAAGTGTCTTGGAAACAGCAGAAGGAATCCACATTGGTAAAACTGCCTATGATCTCCATTCCTTTCCCATCTCCATCCTTGCCTCCATCCTTCTGATCTGCTCAGCTGCTTTACCCTTCTCTAGAGCATCCGTCAGGTTTTCTGACCTCAAAGGTGACAAACAGCTAGTGTCTTTGCTGTTATGTTGAGACAGATGCCTGTAACCCAGGTTGGTCTTGATCTCCTTGTGTCCCTGCTGGGGATACAAGCTTTACCCAACATGCCATGCTTATGTGCTCTTGGAGATCAACCCCAGGACTTCATGCATGCTAGGCAAGCGCTGGCTCTACCAGCTGAACTACACCCGAAGACCTCACATTTAGGGTTGTGATAAGTTCACACTGGAACTGAGTGCCTGGAGCAGAGTCCAGAAGTGGACCGATCGTTCCAACATCCTGATCTCTGTCTTTTTCTCTGCAGGTCTTCCAGACTAGGTCGTCTTCTCGGTTCCAGCCACAGAGTTAGGGTTGCCCCTCGGCTCCCAAGGGACAACTCTCATTCCCCATTTCCGTACATCTCTAGCGAATGGCTAAGAAAAAGTGAAGAGCCAAGCATAGATGCAGGCTCCGGACTGAGCACGCGCGAGAGACAAGCAGAAGAGGCTTCGTGTTCCCTTGGCCTGCTGCTGACAGCTGCAGTGAAACTAGGCAGCGGCCACACTGCTGTGGCAGAAGGCAGTCACCAACTAGGAAGGTCTCTAACTAGTCTTGTGGCCCCGCCCACTTTTTTTCCTGGATTCAAGGCAATGTTGCCTCAAAACAAGGACCAGGTGCTGCTACAGAACACAGTACCCCCAGGGTGTCCCCCTCGGGTCCTCTGACAGTTTGCTGACTGCCCTCCATCCAACTTAGCATCTCTCTCCCCCCATCAGTCCCTCCCTCCTCCCCACCTACCTTTGCCATCTCACAGGCCAGCCTATTTTTCCTTCTCTTCTCCGCCACAGCCCCACTCTCCTGGGCCTCGTTTCTACTCTTCCTCTCGACTCAAATTCTGACTTTATTCCCCTCCCATTCTCTTCCTCCCTCCCGAGTTCCCCCACTTTCTTTCACCAGAACTACCCTTGTCTTCCTTCAGGACACTCATCCCCTCCCCTCAACTACCAGCTGGGCGCCTCCCCTCCTCTTTCCCATCACTCTTCTCTTTCCCAGGTACAAAATTCCTCTCCTCACTCTTGCCAGTCTCCTCCCCAGCTCCAGGGCATCCATAGTTCCCCAGCCACGTCCCCCAGCCCCAGCCCCCCTTCTGGAGGGATTTCCAGTAACAAACAAACATGGCGGTGTCCTCAATCCAAAAACACCAGGTCCCTTGGGGTGGCAGGGGGATGCAAGGCAAGCAAGGTGGACCCTGCAGAGTTCAAGGACCGAATGGCCCTCGCCCAAGCCCTAGCCGTCCGTGTGGGGCGCCGCAGAATTGCAACAGATCTCCAGCTACTGCTTCTGCAGCGCCTGTGGCTCGGCACATCCACACCCGGCCAGGCCCCAGTCGTGGAGTATCCCATTTGTCTACAGTGCCTCCAGCCCCACACCCGGTCTTGCCCCACCCCCAAGTACAAGATGGGGGCAAGGCTTCTTGCCTTCCCTCAACTACTGCCCTGTGCTCAGGGCCAGGAGTCTGGGCCTCTCCGCATAGGTATTGGCTTCGGCCTCCACGTGTCTCGGGGCCAGGCCAAAGCCTTGCATTTGCTACCACCAAAAAAAACGGCAGGAAGCAAGTCCTCAAGGAGAGGTCGTCCTGAGGCAACCGCCTACAACCCAGACCCCAGAAGCTCAAGTTATGGACACACTCTCCCAGGCCGGGCCCCTCAAGTTTGCAGGCCTCCAATCACTAAAATCCAGCCAATGTTCCGTGCCTCCAGCTCAGGCACCAAGATGGGTCACTGCCTCCCTAAGGCCCAGATTGTCTACAGCCCCAAAGAGGTTGCCAGAATCTATTCTCCCAAAGTTACCACCTTAATTCCAGAGCAGCGGAGACCCTATGGAACACCCTCTCCAAACCCCACCCTCCCTACCAGGACTTCTCAGACCTTAGGAAGCCACAGCAACACCTTGAAGGGCTGGCTGGCCGGAGGCCAAGTGTGTTCTCCTGCCCTGAACCCTGGAAACCCCTTGTGGAGTCTGCTCTCCCCTGGTTGAAGACCAGAAGCACCCAAGGCCCCATTCAGCCATCCTTCCATTTCCACTACTCTACCCTTGGACAAAAATCAGAAATGTGTTCAAGCATTCTCATGAAAAGGGTTAGTATACTATCAATAATAACTCAATATGAAATCTAGATTACATAATTACATGTCGGTTTCTCCTTATGGACGCATGGGTGAATAGCTTTTGGAAAGGATTTTAAAAGCTGTGCCAACTAACAGTTACAGTCTGATAGTGCCTTAATGGGCAAGGTGGGGACAACGGGGGCGGGGGGGGGGGGGCGTTTGTGTGTGAAGGACAGATTTCCCGGAACACTGACATTTGAGGTAAGTCTCAATGTTTGTAGAGAAGTTTCTAGATGTAAGGGAAATAAAAAGGACCAAGTGAAGACTCTGAGGAAATCTGGAAATATAGTCCTCACCTACCTCTCCTCCGCCAGGTCACCAAGCCGGTAGTGTTTCCATGAGTGAGCTGAAGAGCCATGACAGTGATCCCGGTGGTCATGGCCTCTCCCTGGAGAAGAGGGGTGATGTGGAAGGCTGTGCCTCTGCCCTGGGGGTTGGAAGTAACGCCCAGCCCTGGGCACGAGGGTCAGGCTTCTGGAGCGAAATAAGTCCCAGGCCCAATATGGGCTCTCCACTCAGTCCCGCTGGGGGCACCAGAAAACGACTCGCTGCTCCTACAAAGTGCGCAAGCGCAGTTGTCCAAGGCCCCCGGCAGCAATATGAAGCTTCACGCCCACCAGAAGGAAGGAAGCTTGTGTGAAGCCTACCTGGCTTAATAGACCAATTCTGAGGTAAAGAGCCAGGTCGGGAGTCAACACAAGGCTAGGCTGTCCCAACACACCCGAAGTTCCCAAGTTTCCTGGATCCTCCTGGGGCCCACGGGCCTCCCAAGCCTCTGCCCCAACTCTGTTGGATCCTGTTCTGGATCCCTCCGAGTTTGTCCCCTGCAGCAGCTCCTGTACGCTTCGCTCCGTCCAGGGAGCCATCCTGCTTTCACCACAGTGGGCTTTCTGAAGGGTAGAGGTGAGATGGCCAGAGACTGAGGGGCAAGCATCCTTGGCCTAGGCCCTCCTGGGATCCTGGACCTGAACCTGACCTGCAGCTAGCGGGCTCTGGTCTGGCTAGTTCTTTCCCGCCTGTTGTTACTTTTCTCCATTTCTCATCCACCCCCTATTTAATGGTTGGGTTATCCTGGTCTTTCAAACCCAGCTACCAGCTTGGGCAGGTGGAGGGCGGTTTATGGGAAATGCGAAGAGAAGACGGATCCTCGTTACCTTTCTGCATTCTTCCGATTCCAGTCACAGTAGCCATAGACTGTTGTCTTGTAATGTTCCTCCTTTTGGCCCAGAGCATGCCTCAAGGAGATGATACACCCCGGAGACTGTCCAAGACTGGAACAAGCCTCTACACAGTACTGGAACTAAAGAAAGGTGCCCGGCCTGAAGAGATCAAAAAAGCCTACAGGTTCAGACCCTGCCATTTACTCAACCCTGGTATTTCTCCTCAATCCCTTTACCTCAGCAGACCTTTTTTTTTTTTAATCCTAAGAAGCTTTTATTTGGGGACCAAAGAAGGCCACCCCTTCTTCAGATGTGACCTTGTCTCCGTCCTGTGTACCTCTCATATACCCCATGCATCATCTAAAGATCCCACTCTGCCAATCCTCCTAACCTTCCCTTCTTGGCCACTTCCTACACCTCCCCCACTGTCCTTTGGGTATCGCCTGGGTAGGAAACTGGCCTTGCAGTATCACCCCGACAAGAATCCAGGGGACACTCAAGCAGCAGAATTCTTCAAAGAGATCAACACAGCCCATGCTGTACTCAGTGACCCTACCAAAAAGAAAATCTACGACCAGCATGGCTCACTGGGAATATACCTATTTGATCATTTTGGTGAAGAAGGCGTCAGATACTATTTTATTGCGAACAGCTGTTGGTTCAAGGTATCGTCATCTTCCTAGTCCCTCAAAGTAAGAAAGGAGTTGGAGGCGGGGGCTGGAGAGATGGCTCACAGTGGGAGTGTTTGATGCTCTTTTAGAGGACCTGGGTGCGATTCCCAGCACTCACATGGTAGCTCACAACATCCTGTAACTCCCGTCCCGGAGCTATCGTCTGGATTCTGCGGGCACCAGGCAAGCACATGGTGCACAGACATACATGAAGGCAGAACACCCACACATAAGATAAAGCCAGCTGCGGTGGCTCATGCCTCTGAGCTCAGCCCTTGGGAGGCACTGGGTAGCCTGGGCTACATAGTATGATTCTGTCTGTGTCAATAGAGTAAGGAAGGGGGAAGGGCTGCCTTCCTCTCTAGACAGATGCCTCTGTTCTCACTTTCTGGGCGTGAGGATGGCTGGAGGACCTGCAGGGAGCTACAAAAGGAACAGGGTGCCATGGCCTCTCCCCTGTCTTGTAGACACTCGTCATCCTTTGCTACCTCTTGACTTGCTGTTGCTGCTGCTGCTGCTGCTGCTTTTGCTGTGGATATCTTACGCCACCACCTGAGGAAGTTCACAGGAAGCATCAGAGAAACGTCTGTACTCAGCCCACCAGAGCAGGTAGGGAGGTGGGAACAGTCTCAAACAATTTATTCCCCCAGCCTCAAGGCTGCGGATGGCACCCAGGGCCTTCCACGTGCTGGGCCCCCAAGGCTGCGGATGGCACCCAGGGTCTTCCACATGCTAGGCCCCCAAGGCTGGGGATGGCACCGGGGCCTTCCATGTGCTGGGCCCCCAAGGCTGGGGATGGCACCCAGGATCTTCCATATGCTGGGCCCTGGGTGCGATCCTCAGCCTTGAAGCTGGGGGAATAAATTGTTTGAGACTGTTCCCACCCCTGATAGTTAAAAGTATAAAATGGGATGTTGGTCGAAGTTCACACTATGCCACCTGGCAGTGCGAATGGGTGACGGTAAGGGAAGGGTTTTCTGGAACGGTTGTTACTGTAGATATGTGAGCATGTTGTAATTCCACCCCAGGAGCACAGTGCACGGTTAGAATAGAGAATGAAGACAGCGATGACTAACAAGGAAATGCAGAAGAGTGAGGTATGGAATGGAGGAGCCGCAATGGCTACCGGGGAAGAGAAGCCCATGAGACGGCTCAGCAGGTGAGGGGACTGCCACGAGCCTGACTCCCCGAGTTTGACCTCTGGGACCCACGTGGTGGAGAGAAAGGACTCCTGCAGATTGCCCTCTGATCTCTGCACACAGGCCATGGCATGGGAACCTACACTCGTATACACACGCACACATATTATATATCATATATAATCATCTATGATATTCGTGTGCATCTGTGTACATAACACATATCTATATGTCTGTATACTTTAAAGCATAGATAGTACTTCAATTCTTGTTGGTTATCCTAATAAGGTTCCAATGAAACTGTTTCTGCCATTAGGTGCTGGGTCAGTGAGAGTCCCCCGCCACCCAGCCCACTGAACTCACTGAAGAGAGAAGCACGTAGCCCAATCCTGACATTGACCCTGACTTGACTCCTGTTCTTAAAAGCGGTCCATGCCAACATCAGTCCTAGAAAGGGCAACATCTCTCTCTGCCCTCAGGGTGCCACCAAGGCTGTGCACACAGAGCCTTCTGCCACTCTTCTTTAGCTCTAGGCCCTCCCCATTGTTATCCACGCGAGGTCTCAGGCCGTGGTGGCAGGCATGTCCTGAGAACTCTTTTTCCAGTGCATGCCTAGCTACTTGCCATGTCAGATGGGTCCCTGGGCACTTGCTGATCAGCTTCACCAAGCCCCTCCTCACCAAGCAAGGTGACTGCTGTCCCAAGAGCTGGTGGCCCAGCTAATCCTCCTTTGTTGCGACTTTGTGTACCGAGAACTTCTAGCGCTGGCCTCATTTCTTAGCAATGCCCCTTAGGGAGGCAGGTCTCACCCTCTTCTCTTATCTCCACCATTGGCAATGACACCCTACTCATAAGACAGCTTGGGAAATATGTGAGTGCACCTGAGGTTTGTGTTTCCCTTTGGACTTCAGCCTCATCCCTGGACCCGCTATCAGCCGTGGTCCTGTGGACTGGCTACAGCCCATGCACCAGGGCCTCTGCCTCCACCCTTTAGACACCTCATAAAGACCCATCACCGTGTATTTGTTCCAAACGCAGGGGCGTGGACTGTGATGGAGACAGATGGTACACGGAAACGTCACTCTAGCCTCAGTGCTGTTGGCTTGGCGCCCTCTCCAGATCCTCTTTACCGTTTCTTACTCACACGGAACAGGGCCTATGAACCCTCAAACCTCTGTGCCCTCACTGGGAGAAGGGCTAAATAAAGAATGTCGATAATGAAAGAGCTTTGTCCGATTCCAGTGTATGATGGACCTCCCAAAAAGACAAGTTGTGTGGGGGACAGAGGAAAAGTCCAAAGTCTACTGCTCATGTCTGGGATGAGACTGTGTGGTCAGCAGAGTTGATTCCCAACGGTCCTAAGATTTCTCTACAGACTGGCTCACTGGTGTTCCAGATATCTGTGGCATGTGGATTCTTCTAGCCACATCTGTTTCTCACAACTTTTTTTTTTTCAAGACAGGGTTTCTTTGTGTAACAGCTCTGATTGTCCTGGAACTCTTGCTTTGTAGACCAGGCTGGCCTCAGACTCACTGAGATCTGCCTGCCTCTGCCTCCCAAGTGCTGAGATTAAAGGCATGCACCACCACAGCCAGCTTAACTTTTTTCTTTTTATTTATGTATGTTTGTGTGTGCATCTGTGTGCATGTCCGTGTAAATATTATTATGCACATGTGTCTGTGCATGCCTATAGAGGCCAGAAGAGGGCGCTGATTCCCTTGGAGCTGGGGTGATGGGACAGATGGTTGTGAGGGTTGGGTTCTGAACTCCAGTCCTCATGAGTGAATGGCAGGCTGCCTTAGCCACTGAGACATCTCCAGTCCATGCTTGTCTCAGTTTCTAAGCAATTTTAGCATCCTTGAAATTGCATCTCTACTATAGTGGCGGACCAGAATCACACACTCTTGCGTCCGCATCATAAGGCAGGCACAGCAGCCTTCTCTTGCCTCTTCAGCTGCTCTCCTATGATGACATAACAGGCTATCCAAGGGTGACGTAGTCAGTCCGTGGAATGTGCTTGTCTAGCACATGAGACCCCTGCGTTGATTCCCAGCACCTCATAGACTGGGAATGAATAATAGTGCTCTCCTCTGACCCCAGCACTGTGGATGTAGAGGCAGGAGGACCAGGAATCCAAGGTCATCTTTGCTGATGCTAGCCTAGTCTACATGAAAGTCTGTCTTTAATAAGGTAGAGGGAGTTGTGTGGCTAAATTTGTCACCAAATCTGATGACCTGAGTTCAATTTCTGGAAGCCACGCTCTGGAGAAAAAGAACTGACCCCTGTCAGTTGACCTGTGACCTCCACATATGCTCCATGCCTTCCCCCCTCCCTTTTAAAAGTAAAGTAGTTTAAAAAAAAAAAAAGGCTGAGCAAGAACAAACATGGGCCAAACAGATGAGGCAAGAAGTTCTTCCTCAGCCAGGCGGTGGTGGCACATGCATTTAATCCCAGCACTCAGCAGGCAGAGGCAAAGGCAAGCATATCTTTGTGAGTTCAAGGCCAGCCTGGTCTACAAGAGCTAGTTCCAGGACAGCTAGGGCTGTTACACAGAGAAACCATGTCTTGAAAAACCAACCAACCAAACAACAAAAAAGTTCTTTCTCTAGGGTCTGTTGGAGACTGTATCATCACTATTTGGAATAAGGTCTCAAGCCAGAACCTTCCCAGTGACGAGTGAGCCCCACATCTTTGCTGGCCTGCCTTCCACTAAAAGCCGTGACGCCCCTGCTCTTCTTGCTCAAGAAAGCCACTGGTTCCTGAGTGAGTCAGGGTCACTCGGTCCGGGACAGCTGTGGCTCGCCTTACACGAGCTAAATTGGGAACTGGAATGTCACACAGATGCCCCATGTCTCCCTGCCCCCACAGTAATATTAATCTCTCTGGGGAGTAAGGGACAAACAGTACTGCCTGCAGAGTGGACAAAGGGTGGTTTAGGGGAGCTAAAGCGACAAGTGCCTGGAGAGGCTTCTGAGCAAGGGGCGCAGACAGAAGAGTCTGGAAATAGCCAGAGGCGAGAGGAGCTGTTAGAGGAAGAGACAGGAGACATCACTCAAGAGGGAGCAATAGCAGGGATCCTAAGAATCCACAGTCTAGAGTTTGACAGGAAGGGGCGCACAGGCAGCGGGAAGGCCGGGAACAGGGCCACAGCCAAGGCAGGCACGAGAGCGCCAAGGGATGAACTTCACGGTGGGTTTCAAGCCGCTGCTCGGGGATGCACACAGCATGGACAACCTGGAGAAGCAGCTCATCTGCCCCATCTGCCTGGAGATGTTCTCCAAGCCCGTGGTGATCCTGCCCTGCCAGCACAACCTGTGCCGCAAGTGTGCCAACGATGTCTTCCAGGTGGGCCCCGGGACGGCTGGGAGGGCATGAGTAGGAGCTCCTACAGGTGGGAGGAGGCAAAGCTGCCCTGACTGAGCCGCAGGAGAGTTGGGGTCCTAGGATCCCGGAGTAAGCATGAGTCAGCAGGTGCCCTGAGGCTGGCAAGCTCAGCCCATGTCCACAGCAGCTAGACAGTGGCATCTGAGGGGGACTGGCAGGAACTGCCAAGGAAGAGTGGTCCTGCCTGGGTTTTGTGGGAGCTTTACTGGATTTTGTTTACTTGGAGGCTTTGATTTTTTTTTTAACTGTAGAAGAGATCAATGAAATACTGAGGAACTAAAAAATAATAGGGTCAACATGATGGTTAGTTGTTGAAGGCACTTACTATCAAACCTGACAACCTGAATTTGATCCCCAAAACATAACGTGGTGAAAGAGAGGACTCCTGAAAGCTGACCTCTGACCTCCATTTACGTGAGTGCACACACACACCCTTAAAAATAAAAGCTGGGTATGGTGGTGTACACTTGCAATTCCAGCACTTAGGGGCCTGGGGCAGGAGGACTGTCATTATTTTGTTTTGTTTTTGAGACAATCTCTATGTAGCCCTGGCTGTCCAGGAGCTCACTATGTAGAGCAGGCTGTCTTCGAACTCTTAGAGATCCTCCTGCCTCTGTCCCCCTGGTGCTGGGATTAGAGAGACATCACCACCGTGGCTTGACGATCAATTGTTATGATTTTTAGATTAACCTGGTTTACACAGTAAATTATGGACCAACCTACAAGACCCTGTCTCAAACAGAAAAGAAAGGAAAAAAACTAAAATTAAAAATAAAGCCATCAGAAGGCATATGCACAGAGCTCGTCTGTCCTTGATGGAGCTGGTTAGACACAGTGGCCCAGGGAAGCAGGAAGTCTCCCCAGTCTCACACCTGTGAGCCTTTCTGATCTGGTAAAGAGGCTCATGGACTAACTAACACTCAGGTGACTTATAGACAGACAGACAGAAAGCAGAAGCAGAATGGTACTTCCCAGAAATGCCTATGTAGCTGTGGTCATGAGGCCGGGCATAGCTAAGTTATAAGTCACTGATATCATTCTGTCCACACATTTCAAAAATAAAAACAAAAAAGCCTGGCATGGCGATGCATGGCTGCAATCCCAGCCTTGGGAGATGGTAGCAGAATGAGCTAATGTTGGCTTGGGCTATGAGACCCTGTCTAACCAACCAAATAAATGCAGATGCCAGAATTCCTGGTAAATTCATAGGCTTGCGTCCCTGCTCTGTGTCATTTGTAGAGGTTCGAGTAGGCTATAGACCCAGTCAGAGGTCGGGGAGAGCGAAGGGACAGGACACAGGTGTGCAGAAGCACCTGGGAGGAGCAGCACAAACTGCAGGCTAGTCTGGTCTACGGAACAAGTATACCAGCATAAGCAGGGACTATACACAGCAAGACCCTGTCTCAAAAAGAAAAAAAAAAGTGTGTAGGGCTGGAGAGATGGCTCAGCAGCTAAGAACACTTGTTGCTCTCCCAAACAACTCGGGTTCAGTTCCCAGTCTCCACAAGGTAGCTTACAACCAGCTGTAACCCCAATCGCAGAGGATCTGATGTCCCCCTCTAAACCCTTCCTGCATGGGCACCATGCATGCAGGCGAAATACACAAAAAATAAATCTTTAAAAAATTAAAAGAATTATTCCTGCTTTTCACAGACTATAAGGAAATGAGTTGAGCAGAGTTTCCACGCCCCCTTTTCCCTTCTCTCTTTGGTGCTGTAGTTAATCTTGGGCACTGTGTGCTAAACACGCACCCTACCATTGATCTATACAAGCTCCAACACAAACTATCTGTAAAAATACTAATGTGTATGTGTGCGTGTGTGTGTGTGTGCACGTGCGTGCGTGTGTGTACATACAGGTGCCCACAGAAGCCAGGAGAGGGTGTCAGACTCCCTGGAGCTGCAGAGTCCGTGATGTGGGAGCTGGCACTCTGAAAGAGCAGCAAGTGCTCAAAATGGCTGGGCTGCCTCTCCACCCTCAACACAGCGGGTCTTACTTCACTGAGAATTTAGACTCCTTGGTGTAGCAGGCTTTCTCAAACTGGCAGCCCCCAAATCATGACACAGAATCTCTTATTAGTTATGAATGCTCGGCCTTATGCTTATCCCACTAGCTCTTATAACTTAATTTAACCTGTTTCGCTTCATCTACACTGTGCCTAGGGGCTTCTTACCTGTCTTTCATTCTGTATAGCCTACTATTCCTGCTTGTGTGCCTGGCTGGCAGTGGCTGCCTGGTTCTGGGTGTTTCCTCTTTTTTGATCTCTCTCAAGCCTAGATTCCTGCTCCTGCTTAGTCTCTCTGCTTGCCACCTTCGCCTATCCCTCTACTGCCTAGCTATTGGCCATTTAGCTTTTTATCAGACCCAGGTGCTTTAGGCAGGCAACATGCAACAATGACACACCTTCACACAATTAAACAAATGCAGCATAAACAAAAGCAGCACACCTTTTCACAGTTAAAGTAATATTCCACAACACCTGGGGTTAGGATGTTTGAAGGCAATACTGGGCTGTTAGGCCATCACAGTGTGTCTATATGCCCTGTCTGTCTTCTGCCCCTTTCACTAAGTAGCCAACACTCCAAAATCTCCTGCCACTGTCCCCTTGAG